TTGACCCATTCGAGGTGTTGCGGCGAGTTTGGGAGGTTGCTTAGGAGCTTATCTTGCCTCCCAGTGTAGCAGGAGTTCATCCAGTATTCCATATTTTTATGCTCCGAAAGTATCACGGCTATCCGTCTCACGTGTTGGATTTCAGCTCAGTCCAGTTAGACAAGGATTTATCTTATGTTGAGGAGTCGGTAGCTATTTTGGACATGCAGGTTCGAAATCTTAGGTCAAAGAACATTGCTTCAGTGAAGGTTCAGTGGAGGGGTCAGCCGGTCGAGGAGGCGACTTGGGAGACCGAGCATGATATGCGCAGCCGTTATCCTCATATTTTCACCACTTCAGGTATGTCTCTATACTCGTTCGAGGATGAACGATTATTTTAAGAGGGGGAGGATGTAATGACCCGGCCGGTCGTTTTGCGAGTAACAGCCCCGATCCCCTATTTACTGCTTTCCTCATATCTTTTTCCACTTATGTGACTTGCTGGGATGTTCTGTTTTTGGTTCTGGAGTGATTTGGGACACTTAGTCCCTATAACGGAAGCTTAAGTTCTAGGATTTTGACTGTGGTTAGAACTGTGTGAAGATGACTCTGGAATGGTGTTTCGTCGGTAACGTTAGCTCCGTTGGGTAACTTTGGACTTAGGAGCGTATCCGGGTTTTGAATTGGAGGTCTGTAGCTGAAATAGGCTTAAAATGGCGAAAATTGAATTTTTGGAAAGTTTGACCGGAAGTGGACTTTTTGATATCGTAGTCGGATTCTGATTCCGGAAGTTGGAGTAGGTTGGTAATGTCAATTATGACTTGTGTGCAAAAATTGAGGTCAATCGGACATGATTTGATAGGTTTTGACATCAGTTGTGGAAGTTTGGAGTTTCAAAGTTCACTAAGTTTGAATTGGAGGGTAATTTGTAATATTAGCGTTGTTTGATGTGATTTGAGCGCTCGACTAAGTTCGTATGATGTTTTAGGACTTGTTGGTATGTTTGGTTGAGGTCCCGGGGGCCTCGGGTGAGTTTCGGATGCTTAACGAATCGAAGTTGGACTTGTGTGAATTACTGAAGCTTTCAAGCTTCTGGTGTAATCACACCTGCGGTGGATTTTTGAGTTTTGACTTGGATTTTGATATCGGATTTGGATAATTTTGATATGAGTGAACTCGTGAGTGAATGGGTGTTCATATTTTGTGACTTTATTTATGGTATGTAATTACTTTTGGCTAGATTTGGGCCATTCGGAGTCGGAAACCCGTGGAAAAGACATTCTTACTTATTGATTAAGCTTGGTTCGAGGTAAGTGGCTTGTCTAACCTTGTGTGGGGGAAGTCCCCTTAGGATTTGGTACTGTTGTGATACTTCTATGATATATGAGCGCCGTGTATGCGAGGTGACGAGTGTGTACACAAGCTAATTATTGTAAAATCCGATTCTTGCTAAGTAATAACCTGTTTCATCTTAATTGAGATGTACCAGCATGTGTAGTTTTCCTGTCTAGCCTAATATCACATGTCTACGTGTCTTAAATGCTTATTTGAACTCTGTGCAGCATGCTTAGTTGATTTCCTATTTTTCCTTTATCTGTATCAGCCTTAACTGTAAGATTCTTGCTGTTAATTGTTGTATTCGTCGGCTTCGAGTTGTGTGTTTACTTTGGGACTACGAGGCGGTACCTCGGAAGGTCCCCCCTGCACATTTACTTTGAGACTACGAGGCGGTACCTCGGGAGATCACTCTGCAAATTTACTTTTGAGACTAAGCGGCGGTACCTCGGTATATCTCCTTCCATATTTACTTTTTAGACTACGAGGCAGTACCTCGGTAGATCTCCTTGCATATATACTTTGGACTACGAGACGGTATCTCGGGAGATCCCCTGCTGTTTTATCCCTGTGTGTTGTACTGTTATTTTTCTGTGGTTTCCTCTTTGTTAAATTCCAATCTCTTATTACACTACAATATTTTCTACCTTATTTATTATATATACCAGTAGGGCCTTGACCTGACCTCGTCACTACTCGACGGAGGTTAGGCTTGGCACTTACTGGATATTGTTGTGGTGTACTCATGCTACTCTTCTGCACATGTTTATGTGCAGATCCAGGTACTCCGTATCAGCCTCGTCATCAGTGAGCAGTGAGACTTTGGAGACTTCAAGGTATATCTGTCTAGATCTCAGAGTCCCCCTCTATTCCCTCCTACGTCATTTACCTTTTCGTACTTTTTCTTAGACTCTGGTGTATAGAGATACTAGTTTTCTTCCGTAGCTTGTGACTTATGATTTTTCGGGTTTTGGGAAACTGTGTATACTCGATTGTTGGTTATTGTACATGCCAAGCGGCATTTTTATCAATTATTTAATTATCTGTTGCAGTTAGCTGTTAAAGTTTTGCTTTTATTTTTGTTATTCCGCAAATATTAGGCTTACTTAGTCATAGAAATTAGGTGCCGTCACGATATTCACGGAGGGAAGATTGAGTCGTGACACTACTGTTATTATCAAACCAAACAATGAAAAATGCTCTAGGGAACGATTTCCTAAGATAAACATTATTCACATAAAAATATACCTTATAAGAGAATTGAGCTCTGAATTGATATTTATAAATTTCTGGTGCTTTTGGGAATTATAGACTTCTATCTCAATTATTACACTAGCAAATCTCTTTTCTATTCAGCTTGGAGCATTAGTTGTAATTTGTAAATACTTGTAATTTACATAGGGGTATTATCACTTTTGATCCGCGCCATAAATATTCTAGGGAGAATACGAGTAAGTCTGTCTTGATGGAATTCTTAACAAATAGGTTTAGAGAATAATAAAAACTCATAATCTCAATGTTGGAAATGCAACTTTACCATTTCAACTATAGAAACTTAAGATCAATCATGATATATAATGGCATAGTAAACAATGAACGTCCTAATTATCTGGATATAAGCCACCTTTGGATATAATTATCTGAAATTTTCAACGAAACTAGTTGGCATTAAAGCGAGTACCAAACATCGGGTGAAAATTAAAAGAAAGAAAGTCCTAAGTTTGTAAGACTAATAGCATGTCAAAAGGTACTTTTTTCCCCAAAAGTATTTTTTTCCCCCAAACTTAAGGTGTTTGACCAAGCTTTTTTAGAAGGAAACAAAAAATATTTTTGACTAGAAGCAAAAATAGTTTTTGAGAAGCAGAAAAAAGTAACATCTTCCCAAAAATACTGTTTTGAATTATTTTTTTGAGAAATATAAACATATAAGCACTTTTTAAAAGTTTGGCCGAACACTAATTGCTGCTCAAAAGTGTTTTTCAAATAGATTAACTACCTACAAAATACTTCTCACCAAAAATGCTTTCCAAAAAAAATATTTTTCACCAAAAGTACTTTTTATAAAAATACTATTGAGAAAAATATTTTTCAAAATAAGCTATTTTAAAAGCACGACCAAACAGGTTATAAGACAAGGACAAAATGGAAGGGGGAGAGCAGTGTGTCATACTCCTACCGTTCACTTTTACTTGTCAACTATGAACTTTGCATACCCCTTAAAAAATAATAAATGGGGTACATAATTTACCATGTTAACCATATTAATTGATGCATATTTTTAATTAATTGAGAAAATAATTTGAAATGAGTAATTAATATTGTGGGTATAACAGGAAAAAAGAAATTATCTTCTTTTGATATGTTAAAAGTAATAAGTAAAAATAAAAATTTATTTTTAGAATACCGAACAAGTAAAAATGAATGGAGGGAGTATAATTTAGACATAATTATGTCCATTATTTCATTCTAACCATGACCTTATTTGCCTATCTAGAAGAGTCAGAATGACCAAAAGGAGTACTAATTAAGAAGTTTCTTGTTTGTTACTACATCTCAAATATTTACTTCACATCTATATGGAAATTCTAGCCCTCCTTCACAGAGTCAAACTAGCACTAACAAAGAAATTCATTCCACTAGTAATAGAGACGGACTGCTTGGAACTATTAAATCTCCTAAAATCTAACAACTGTCTCTACCAAAATTTAATTGATGACTGCAGGTACCTATTACGGAAGGCGAATGATCCACAGTTGAAGCACATCTTTAGAGAGGCTAATGGAGTAGCGGACCTGTTAGCTAAGAATGGTTGCAGCCTGGGCACTTTTTGTACTTTGCAAACTTTTGCTGGTCCACCTATTTTTGTTATCCATGTACTAAAAAGAGACAGTCTAGTTACTATGTTACCTAGACTGAGCTCTAGTTGTAATAACTCTTAGCTTTGTTGTTGTTGAATAAATCTTTTATTACCAAAAAAATATTTACTTCACGTTTAGAAAACAAGAGCATTTATTACCCTTTTTCAAATTCATCCTTAATGCTCTAGTTAGAGTATTAATGAGGCAGTAGTTCAAAAGAGAGTGAAATGATATTTTAGATAGATAATCTTATGGTTAAAAATATTGAGTATCATCTCAATGGGTAAAATTCTAAAAGACAAAGAGAATCGTACGGGAATGTCCAAAATAAGCTCAAATTTATTAACCTCTAACAATCAATCATAAACTTACGAAAACTAGCTAAACGCATATAAAAATTGAAAACCCAAATAAATAAAAAGTATTTCTCTCCAAATTACACGCAAAAATCTCCTTCCATATTTTTAAGCGTGATCAACAACATTAAATGCAAGACGAAAAGAAAATTTCATAGATGAGGTAGCAAATAAGGTGATGAAACACAAAGAAAAAAGTATATACAAGATTGGTAAAATCTAAGCAAAAAAGGAACAGTTTCAATATGTACGGTTGAACTAAGATTGAAGCGGAAGTGAACATGTGAAGCCTTTTGGTTGAGTTTTCACCAAGGCTGTAGATAGATTATATATAGCAACAAATGTCCAGCAGTAGCCTAACTGACCTATGACCTATAGGAATTTGAACTTACAATGTAATCTGAATCCTTCTCTAATATATTTAAAAGATACACATCTAAACCTTATCTGATATATCCAAGAGACACGATGGTCATCTAACACCCCCCAGCAAGCTCATGTCGAGTTTAGAGACATTGATCTTGGACCGTAACTGAGAAAATCGAGAGGAGCTTAGAGCCTTGGTAAATACATCATCTGTTTGATCTGTGGAAGGAATGTACCGAACAGAAAGTTGGCCACGATCAACCTTTTCTCAAACAAAATGGTAGTCAATATCAATGTGTTTTGACCGTTGATGAAAAACAAGATTGGCTGTGAGATAAATAGCATTGATATTGTCACAAAAAACTACTAGAGCACGACGGCAAGGTAACTGGAGCTCCTTAAGCAGACTGGTGAGCCAGGATACTTCAGATGCGGCAAAAGCAATGGCGCGATATTCGGCTTCGGTACTAGAGCGAGCCACTACTTGTTATTTCTGCGATGACCAACTGATGAGATTAGACCCATAATATACAAAAAAAATACCATGATATCGATCGTCAGGATCAGCAGCCCATCCCACATCACAGTAAACATGCATAGAGGAAGAAGTGGATGGTGCGATGGAGAGGCCATATGTAAGGGTACCTTTCAGATAATGAAGAATTCTTTGCACTGCTTTCCAATGATCCATTGTAGGATTGTACATATATTGACGTACACGACTCACAGAAAAGGATATTTCTGGTCGGGTGATGGCCACATATTGAAGAGCACCGACAATAATTCGATATACGGAAGGATCAGCAAAGGTTTCACCATGTTTGCTTAATTGGACAGTGTTATCCGTTGGAGAAGGGGAAGGTTTGCAGTCGGTCATCTTGGTTCGAGTGAGTAGGTGACAAATGTAATTAGCTTGAGAAAGGTGTATCCTAGAGCCTATACGATTAACTTCAACACCCAAGAAAAAAGAAGGATGTCCCAGATCTTTAAGGGAGAATTGAAGGTCAAGTGTTTTGGTGAATGAGGATAAATATGAGGGGTCACTACCCGTTATTATAATATCATCAGCATAGACTAAGAGGTAGGTAGTATAAGATATAGTATGATGAACATAGAGGGATGAATCTGAGTAACAAGATGTATACCCATGTGAGATGAGAAAGGTTTTGAGCTTGAGAAACCAAGCGCGGGGGGCTTGTTTGAGACCATATAAAGCTTAATAGACAACATACAAAATTTGGTCAAGACTTATCAACAAAGCCTGACAGTTGAGTCATATATACAACCTCCGAAAGATCACCATTTAGGAATGCATTATTGACATCCAATTGCTTGAGAACCCACCATTTAGATATGGAATGAGAGAGGACAAGCCGAATAGTAGAAGGCTACACAACAGGGCTAAAAGTATCATGAAATTCAACACCTTCTTCTTGATGAAAGCCTTTTGCAACTAAGCGAGCTTTGTACCTTTCAATGGAACCATCGGCCCGACGCTTAATACGATACACCCATTTTCAACCTAGCACATATACATTGGGAGGACAAGGAGTGAGTTTCCAGGTGCATTTACGGAGCAATGCTTGATATTCTATATCCATGGCACGAAGCCACTCAGGGGAGGAAGCAGCTTGCTTGTAAGTTTTTCGCTCATTGGGGAAGGAAGATGAGGCTGGAATAGGGTGACAAGATGCAACAAGAGCTTTAGGTTTAAGTGAATTTGTTTGAGCTCGTGTAGTCATACGGTGAGTAGAGGAGGTTACTGGACGGAAATACGTGGGAGGAGGGTTCGTTAGAGGAAGGTGAGTTGAGATAGCAGTAGAGGTGTTTGGCACGGGAGAAGTCGTTGGGGAAGCTACTAGTGGAGAAGTTGTAGGCAATGCTTCAGTAGGTAGTGTGAGAGGAGAGGGAGGGTGTGGAGGAAGGACCTGAGATGGTGAGTTGATATTTGAGTCAATGAAATTTGAAACGGACTGTAAAATTGTTAAGGATGGTAGATGTGAATCTCCATTGGAGCTGGAAGTGGAGGTGTTGTAGTGAGGATAAGGAAATTTATTTTCGTCCAATATTACATGGCGAGCAATGTATGTTCGATTGGTGGGGGGATAGTGACACAAATAATTTTTGTGCTTTGAACTGTAACCTAAGAAGAAACATGGAAGAGAGCGAAAGTCAAGTTTATGATTATTATAAGGACAAAGAAAAGGATAGCACATACAACCAAATTTTCGGAGGAGGAGGTAGTCTGGCGGACGGTGGTATAAAGCTTGGTAGGGCGACTTGAAGGATAATATGTGAGTGATTGTTCTGTTATTTAAGTATGTAGCAGTGGCAGAAGCATGTTCCCAGTAGTGGAAGGGAAGACATGAAATAGCAAGCAGAGTGAGCCCTTTTTTCAGTAATGGTGTTGTTGCGTCTTTCAGGAGCCCCGTTTTGTTCATGTGTATGGGGACAAGAGAGACGATGATTAATGCCAATAGATTGAGCCTAGGAAGACACATTGCGATGCTCCTCACCCCAATCAGTTTGCAAATTTTTTATTTTCTTGCCAAATTGAGTTCCAACCATTTTATGAAAGTATTTGAAGACATTAAGAACTTGAGATTTAGTCTCCAAGAAAAATATCCAAACGAATTTTGTGGCGTCATCAAGAAATTGAACAAAATACTTATTTCCATTAATTAAGAGATGCGGAGAAGGTCCCCACACATCAGAGTACACCAAATCAAAGGGAGATGAACTACGACATGACGAAGAAGACAAAGGGAGCCTATGGCTTTTTCCTAATTGACATGATCCACAGATACTGGACATTTTATTTGACGATAATGGAAGACCAAAAGTAGATATTAAACGACATAAAAGCTGATCATGAGGATGGCGAAGACGTTCATGCCACGCTTGGAGCGATGCACGAGAACAGACAAAAATGCAAGGAGCCATGGGGAGGAGGACTTGGAGGAGACAACAGGAACCCCACCATTCAGATGGTATAAGCCATGATCAATTGTCCCTCGAAGCAATATTTTTCCCTGAAGATCCTTCACAAGACAACAAAAAGGGTGAAATTCCATAATAACATTATTATCTGTAGTAAATTGAGAGACACTTAATAAATTTTTGGTGATGGAAGGAACATGGAGAATGCCATTGAGATGGAGAGGGCGATTTGGACATGGAAGGACAGAGGAGCCCGTGTTAAATAGGTAGTTTATGGCCATTAACTACAGCAAGTTGCTCGTCACCATCATTACCCGTGTGAATAGAGAGTTGAGACAAATCTGACGTAACATAATTAGTTGCACCGAAATCAATAAACCATGAATTGTCAACAATAGCATAAGGAAAGACTTGTATTAGCTGAGGGAATGACCATATTGGCTTGTGGGCGGTTAGAGGATCTGTTTGGAGGATAAGCATCAATGTTGCTACGATTGTAGCAATTTCGGGCATGGTGGTTAGGCTTTTCACAAATCTAACAGATAATACGAGGAGAGAAACGACTATTAGGACGAGAAGGGTTGTTATTTGTGTGAGTAAAGGATCTTTGGGCATTGTTTGGTGGCGACTGCTGGTTGGATTGTCCAGTGGATGGAGGACAGCTAGGATATTGGCCTGAAGTTGAAAAGCTTTGTGTCTTTTTCTTCTTCTTGGAGAGAGTAAACCAAGAAAAGAATCAGTTGTGAGGGTTTCAAGTTGAGCATTAATTGCTGAGCGAAAAGGGCCATATGAAGAGTGTAGACAGAGATCATGAGTTCTTCGTCTGTGATAGGACGTGCAGCAAGGGCTAGGCTATGGGAAATGGTGCGTTTCTTGTCAACATATTCCATGATAGAGGAAAAGCCCTTAGTCGTGGTTTGAAGTTGATGGCGAAGTTGCATAACTCGGGCATGAGATTGGGATTGATAAAGGTAGGACAAAGCCTCATGAGTGGGGTGGAATTGGGTAATGATGTTTTGAGCCTCATGAGTGGAGAATTTTGTCTCTTTTCGTCCATGCTTTGAAAGTCGGATTAGTTGTGGGTTCGGAAGTGGTTACATTTGAAGTAATAATGGTGGGAGAAGGAATATCAGATCCGTCAAGATGAGCCTCCAAATCGAAGGCTTCAAACACAAAGTAAATAGTGGATTGCCAAAGGTAATAGTTGTCCCGGTCAAGTTTTATAGGTAAATTTGAGAGTTGGAATCAATAATGGAAAGGTGTGTTGATGTGGAAGAAGATGGATGAACTGTAGCAGAATTAGCAGTGGTTAGAGATGGTCATGGTGCCAGGAAAAAGAAAAAAATGGCTCTTGATACCAAATTAAGATTGAAGCGGAAGTGAAAATGTAAAGCCTTTTGGTTGAGTTTTCACCAAGGCTGTAGATAGATTATATATAGAAACAAATGTACAGCAGTAGCCTAATTGACCTATGACCTATGACCTATAGGAATTTGAATTTACAATGAATCGTTATCTAAATATATTTAAAAGATATACATCTAAATCTTATCTGATATATCCAAGAGATACCATGGTCATACTAACAAGTTGAAATTCATTAAAAACATATAGTCAATATATAAATTTGAGAAATATTGGAGGTGATTTGGACTGATTTGATATCCAAATTTGTAGTTAAATCAAGTTAGAAAAATTCTTCTGTAGCACATGTATCTCACAACATATATAAATACATATACATATGATACACATATGATACATGTGCGATACACAGATGATACACAGTGTGATATATATATATATATATATATATATATATATATGTGTGTGTGTGTGTGTGTGTGTGTGTGTGTGTATCATCTTTTTCCATGTTCATCTTCTACTTCGAATTTTCAATTCAAACCGCCTCAACAACAACAACAACAACAACAACAACAAAAAACCAATGTATTCCCTTAAATGGGGTCTAGGAAGGTAGTGTATACGCAGACTTTACCCCTACCTTTTAAAGATAGGGAGGCTATTTTTAATAGACCCTCGGCTCAAGGCACAGTGGAGATATGGCAACAAGTAGCAAACAATAGTAACAACAATACATTAAGGTAGCGTGCACGAATGACACAACATGTAATAGTAAAGAATCATGAATAAGATAACACAAAAATAGTCCTAGTACTACTGGCAGGAGGAACACACTACTAATTGTCAACCTTCAACCCTAATCCTCGACCTCCACGTCTTTCTATTGCGGGTCATATCCTCGGTAAGCTGGAGCAATGCCATGTCCTACCTAACTACCTCTCCCCAATACTTCTTAGGCCTACCCCTACCCTTCCTCAGACCCGCCTCTCACACCTCCTAACCGGAGCATCTATGTCTCTCCTCTTCACATGTCCGAACCATCTCAGCCTCGACTCCCGCAACTTGTCCTCCACAGATGCCACTCCTATCTTGTCCCTAATAACTTCATTCCTGATCATGTCCTTTTTGGTATGACCACACATCCATCTAATCATCCTCATCTCAGCTACTTTCATCTTCTGGACATGGGACTTCTTGACGGGCCAACACTCAGCCCCATACAATATATCCGGTCTAACCACCACTTTATAGAACTTGCCTTTAAGTCCAGGTGGTACACTTTTATCACACAAAACCCCCGAGGCAAGCCTCCACCTCATCCACCCCGCTCTAATACGATGGATAACATCCTCGTCAATCTCCCTGTTGCCTTGAATAATCGACCCAAGATACTTGAAACATCTCTTTTGGGGACGACTTGAGTACCAATCTTCACTTCCCCTCCTTCTTCGTGTATTACATCACTGAACTTGCACTCCAAGTACTCAGTTTTTGACCTACTCAACTTAAAACCCTTAGACTCTAGCGTCTCTCTCCAAACTTCCAACCTAGCGTTTACTCCCCCACGCATCTCATCAATCAGGACTATGTCGTCAGTGAATAGCATATACCATGGCACCTCCCCTTGCATGTGTCGCGTTAGCACCTCTAACGCTAAGGAAAACAAAAACGGGCTAAGAGCCGATCCCAAATGCAGCCCCATCTCCACTGGAAAATGATCCGAGTCTCCTCCCGCAGTCCTCACCCGAGTCCTCAAACGCCTCAAAACTCAACCAAATCATCTCAAAATTGAAATTCAAACTCCTTAAAATAAACTCAATTTATTCCAACAATACCCACTCAAGAGAAAACTAATATTAATAATATTTTATAACTTAGCTAATTGTTGTACTAATTTGCTTATTGGCTGACATAAGTGGTAGTTTCTCAAACACAAATAATATGAACCAGAGGTAGCCCAGCTTGAGCAGTTTGTCCTACTTTTTTTTTTTGCTGAGTTCCGCATCAAAATACTATACTTTGAACTGCATTTCCGTCCAATGTAAAGCACAGATGATCCTAGAAATAGTAGGGGCTAGCCAGTTTTCAGACTGGTCATTCAAAAATTACTTGCGTTTGCAAAGTCATTGAAAAATAGCCACTATTTTGCTGCAACACAAAAAGTTCCAGCATAATATACTGGAGATTAGTGCACCTGTGTATGAACTTCCAGCATATTATGCTGGAACTCCAACACACGAAAAGTTCCAGTATAATATACTAGAGATTGGAGTTCCAGTATACTTATGCTGGAGTTGGAGTATTTTTCCGGATTTTGAATGGTATTTTCGTTCAAATTTATCTTTACATGAAAAGTGGCTAAATTTCGATTACTTTTGAAATTGTGGCTATTTTTGAATGACCTGTTGTAAATCTGGCTATTTTTTAATTTCTCCCATCAAGAAACTATTGATGTAACTGGTTACTTAGAGCCACCAAATTAACAGGTCAATTCACCCAATAGTCTGGCTGATGACATTTCTTCAAGAAGCAACACATCTTGATAAAACAACCAAGAGGTTCTTCATTCTCAAGACTCAAGAGGTTCTTCATTCTCAAGACTCGAAGTTAAAGGTAGAAGATACCAACCATCCCACCGCACCTTTGATGGTTGCTGAAATGAAATGCACACCCAACCTTCACTGAATGGTCTCTCTCCCTAGTAGCTGCTCTTCAAAAGCCAAGAACCGCACAAAAATTAAAAGGGAGGCTTTAGCTTGAACATTTCAAGTATGAATTACCAACAAACGTATTATTAAGGCTGAAAACTCACGTGGTATAATTAACTTTCCACTCTCAAGACCCTCTACAATGTCAAGAAATGTCAATATAACAAATCACCAAACTGAGGAAGCAATAAAGAAAATGCGAGGAAATTTAAGCGGAATTTACAAGGTAAAAGGAGGCATCTGTCATCATAAAGGGAACAAAATCCATTTCATTTGCACTCAACACCAGCTTCTGCAGCACGGCGAGGCTTGTTTTTCCGCCTATGCCTATTATGACGAAAACCATTGGATCGAGTAGACTCATCAGTGCTTGATCTGGTTCCATTACCATTTTCCTCTTCTGCTGAATCATGTTTTTTCTTCAACCGCGTATTCCGTTTCCTCTTCTTTCCGTTCTCCAATGCAGTAGAACTTTTTATCTCTAAGTTTGGAATTCCAGTTTTTTCATCCTCGGCCTCCTCCTCTTCTATTATTTCAGCTACTTCTTCGTCAATGTCATCTTTAAGCGACTTTTGTGGCCTTCCCCGTCTCTTCTGCGCAGGGATTTTCTCTTCCTCGTCGCTTCCTGGATCATCATGGTCACTCACAGTCAGTTTCTTCCCTTTCCCTCTACCTCGAACCATGGCTTAAGGACCTGTGACTTCAGCAAAGTTGCACTTGAAATACCTGCTAAACAAATGAAACCTTTAGCAGAGGCTAACCAAACCAAGTAAGGTTTCTAATGAAAGGCCGAAAAAAAACAATCATATGGTAGGACATTCAATTATCTTCTCTTTTCCAGGTAATAGAACAAAATACTGCACAACACTTAAAAAGTTATGACATGTCATCAACCGTTAAGCAAACGCAACGTCTCATTTTTCTTTTGTTTTTACAGGTAATACATGGTAAGGGGAGGCAAGAAAATCTTTCAGTTTACAAAAGAGAAAGCAAAATTATGCAATTGAGGTGATCATGCTCTTGATTGTATCAAATGCCATGTAACAACTCAGATAATGTAACTGTATGACAATATAAGGAGGTTCTGACTTAGAGGGCATAAATTGTGTGATAAGGCAAAAAATCGTGGCATCCATTACCAAGGCAATTTTGGCTGAACTGAGCCTAAGTTTTGAGGAAGTTGCCAACTGATTGATAAGTTATTCTAAATTGGACAAGAGAAAAATATACCACTGAACATTTAAGTTCATATAACAATTAGAAGCTAGAAAATTATCCTTCATCTGTTAGCTTCTTAATGGAAAAACACTTGGTACATTTTTCTTTTAGAATTCTGGCCTATCAAAAAGCAATTGTGAAGCAAAAAGCAAAATGAGATACGTCAAAATCTTACCTTAAACACTGATTCACACAGTGATGATGTTTCTCAAACTTAATGCAGAACCATCAGCAAATTCTAAATATTTGAACGCACAGGCTGTGAAAAAGTCGAGGTCCTAAAATGTTTCTTTAGTACTCCTAACAGGGTCTAGAAGCTATATCTGCCTTTGCGACCACTCGTGAGAATAGCTGAACGCCCCGAGTAAAAAGACCAAAGCACAATTACTAACAAGTAGGTGATCAGCAAATACAATTGCAGAGATTTTTGGGAGGAACCAAACCATTAGAAGGCTCTAGAAATAAGCAAGCCAAAATCTACTATGCTCTCCTTCGTCAAAGAGAATCACCCAAGGCATTTTTTCAACTAGCACTAAGAGAAAGATACGAAACTGATCCAGGTTTTCTCAATAATAACAAGAGGAGGACAACCATTAGACACTGCCAGAAATGGAGCTGGAACATTAGTGAAAGAATATATTTACGAGAAACCTATGCTCTTTTTCTATTTCTTTATTTTATTTTTTAGAAGCCAATCCATGCTTGGGAAAAAAAAGAAGATAAACTAAGCCTGCAGAGTTATAAAGGAATCAATTTTCTGTTTTATTTGGACGAGGTGAAGAATTCACATATCACCAGTATCATGCTGTAGCCAAATATATTTCATAATCAGTGGACAATTTATTTGTGAAATGTAGAAGCCCATAAAACAGACAGTTCAGAGCATTAAGTTGAGTACTATTCTAATATCTTCACGAAAGAATGTGATGTCTACCTGGTTAAAAAGCATTTGCTGCTTTACAGTCCTAGTTCTATTTTACATGGTATCCATCTCCTACAGCCAACTGGAACCATATCTTATGAAACTCAACATTTTCCCGTTCTCCCTCCGCGGCATAAATATCTGAAAAAACCCATAAAACTCAGATTCTTCAGCTCCATCCCCACTATATCCTTTGCCATCTTAACAACCACTGAAGGAAGCCCCAGAAATTTGAAACTGTAACTTCCATTGACATATGTTTGATTGTACCTAAACCTCATCCATCATCCAAATACGACATAAAGATCAATGACACAAGCAATCCTAGAATAATGCTCTTTCCTCGATCTAAGACTCCTCCATGAATCAAAAGATCTTCAAACCTCTCCTGACTAAACCACCATGACTACATGCAGAAAGAAGAGAAATTTGACAGCACTCTTTCATACTCTTGAAAAGTTGGATTGTATATTCCATCCCGCCATGCTTCCCGAAACATCCTATCACTGCATTCCATGATGGAACACTGTTCAAGGGAAATTCAAAACATTTCAAGCATCTTTGCGCTCCTACATTTAAACCACATACCTATAAGCGCACTAGCAACAACCACAGTTACCAAAGATGCTCCACTCTGTAAATAAGAACATGAATCCCGCACAGAGCCAAAATACCCCACATTGGAAGAAGCCCGGTAACTAACTTCATGAGGCTTAACTCCAGCAGCTAGCATACCCTGAAATAATGCTAAAGCTTCAGGAGATCCTTGGCAACCACGAAATCATCGCATTCCAAGTAACAAAATCTGGAGTCAACCCCTCTTTACTGATTTCGAGAACAACAAAATAGCAGCTTCACAATCTCCTTTCCTAGTGTATCCAGTGATCATCACATTCCACGTAAAATCGTTTGGCTTTTTGCCTTCTAACCTTGTTTTTTAAAACAAAATTAAGTGATTCTTCAATTTTCCCACGTCAGAATATGCATATGTCACTCGTACCGAGGATGCAATATCTCTGTCAACCATTCTGACAAGCACCAATTGGGCATCTCCATATGGTCATACTTATCAGTTATCATACATATCAGTCAGCACTTCTCACAAACTCATCTGATTCAAATCCAATCCTATATATCATACGATGCATCTTTATTCAAATCCGATGGACCAACATATGCTGAACAGCACAATTCTAAATCTAACTTAGAATTGAACTAAGATCTAAATAACAAACCATGCAAATTTCAAATAAACAAACAAATACCAGATCCAGAAGATTAAAGCAGCATTATTACCTTATCCCAAAAAAAAAAAGCATCGTTAAAAGCATATAAGCTGCAATCAAATTCAACAAAATTGCTAGAACCAAAAAGCATTTCAACACAGCCATACAACAACTACAACTCAATCCTAAAATAGCTGGGGTCCAAATCAAAAGATTAACAAAGAGAACACTAGATCCAGAAGATTAAAGCAGTATTCAAACTACAAAGCAGCCATCAAATTCTGTACAAGTGGTAGAACAAAAAAGTGTATATAAAGCCAAAATACAGTAGAAAAAAGTAATCTTGAACTCACCAAAACACTCATTTGAAGAAACCAGTCAAACCCATTTGATGGCGTGTTCAAAAAAACCAGGAATAGCTATGAACCAGCAAAATTAGAAGAAAAAAATATGGTGACCCAGATCAAGAATAGTGAACCTCAATTCAGAGACTAGAAAGGCTAAAGATTGGATGTCACTGAGATAAGAGAAGGACCCTCCATTTGCAAAAACAAAGATAAGAAACACAAAGGTATGGAGAGAGAGAGAGAGAGGGAGGGAGAGGGAGAGGGAGAGAGATTTTTCTCAACTGTTTGTGTAGTGCCTCAGTGGCGTGAGTATAACAGCAAAGAGTTTGGTTTCTATTCTGATCTGTTTTCTTGTTACTTAGGAGTAAAAAATAAGTATTTAGGTATTTTCCATGTTATTTTTTTAATTTAATAATGATGGTGTTCAGAAAAACGAAATTAATCCACAATTACCTAAGTTTCACCAGAGATTGTATAACTCTGCCATCAAACAAGACCCGTTTGGATTAGCACATTTGAAGTAGCTGATAAGCATTAGGTGCTGAAAAGCATTAAAAATGGTGAAACTGATTTAATAAATAAGAAATTACGTGTTTGAATATAAGTGCTGAAATTGATAATAAGGTGCTGCAGTATTTAATAAAAAAAAAGTACTGATAAGCTCTTTTTTCTGTTAAAATAACTTGAATAACCTTAGAATTGTTTACATTTATAAGGGCGTAATTTCTTTAAAATTTTAGATTCGAGATGATTCAAATACAAAATATTCTGTTTGTCATTTTATTTTAAATACAATTAGATAAGATAATTTTTATGATAAATATAATTTATTTTATGATAAGCATATAATCATAAGTTATAATAATTAATAAATTGACAAAATTTCTCAGTAAAAAAATAAACCTAAATAAGATAAAATATTTGAAGAGAAATACTGTCTTCATCACCACAACACTTAAAAAGCAATACACCGAAAATTTGATATGTCCTCATTCATTACATACAGTTCAAAGATTAATACACAATCACATAGATATAAATATGCAAAGGAATAGAGAATTTGCTTACCTCAAATAGTCAAGAAGAATCGCAAACTTGAAGAGGGGGGGGGGGGGGGTTAGGTTGAAAAAATACGCGAGGCAGTTGGTATCGATGTAGGAATTTTGTTTTGAAAAGGAATATTTTAGGGATAAAATAGTAAAAGTCTTGGTCAAACTTAAAGTGCTTATAAGCTAAAAATTCATAAGCCGGGGGTGACCAGCTTATGGCTTTTGGCTTATTTTTGGCTTATAAGCACTTGACTTATGAGCACTTTTAATTATACCAAACGCGTAGATAAGCCGAAAAGTGCTTATAAATTAGTCAAACTAGCTTATAAGCTTAGCCAAACACCCTCTTTTTCTTTTTATAATAGTTGGTGCTCAGATCAATCTGAAGTTGTATAAAAATTATTTATATAAGATCACTTATCAAATAAAATCTTTTCATAATCATAAATTAATAATTTCACTAAAATGTATTTAGTATTGAAATTTATAGAATGTTGTTTGGCATAATAGAAATTGAAATTTGCACCTCCTTTTTCATTATGTCTTGCAACAGATAGCGGAGTTACTTGGTAATTTTTCGCCTCCTAGTTAATAACTTGGAGAGGATGAACTTTTCTCTAAACATAGTGCGAGTGGCTCCTTCACGATTGTTTTGATGAATGAACAGAGGCGAATTTAGGATTTAATTTTCACGTGAACCCGTAGATGGGGAGGTGGATCTGCCCCTGTGTATGAGGTTCTTATCGATTCTGACCAACTTATGCCTAAAAAAGTTTGGATGTTATTGTATGAGGCAGAATCCGTCCCCACGATAATTAACGAGGCTAATCCCGTTTTAAGTTAATTCATGATTAATTAGTGGCACGACCACTCAGAATTAATTATATCCAACCCTCATCTGATTCGATCAACAAGGCCACGGCCCATCCGCCACCATGAAGGCGAAACCCCAACGTGGTCACGGCCACTTATTGCCAGCTCACGAAGCTCACAGCTATAAATACCAAGAGAGGAAACCCCACAGAGAGGGGGGCTGCTTCTTCACCACTAGTGAGAGGAGAGAGAATCGAGAAAATATACCCCTCTTATGAGAAAAGAAAACACCATTGTAAGGTTCTGAACCTCTCCATGGAGAGGCAGACCAAACAAATATTATCAATATAGGTTTCTAATGCTTCTACCCTTATTCTTGAGTACTTATTTTCATTTCTTTCATTGGGTCCAACGGATTATTACGATTTGCTATGATTATCCCGTGATTTATTTATATTGTTTTATTCTCGTAAGTTTTGTAATAACTTTTGAGCAAACAATTTGGCGCCGTCTGTGGGGATTTCATAGCAAAATCGCGTAGTTCTTCCCTGGACCCAAAAGGAAAGAAGCGCCAAACTCAAAGGGGAGCTCGAAGATCTCAAATCAAGATCTAAGTCTTCTCCCTCTCTCCAATCTCAGATAGTGCAAACAAGAAGAAAGGCCCCCCCCCCCTTTCCTAAGGGAAGGTCTCTACAAGGTATACGAGCTCCGGTCAGAAACCGGCACGGAGATATCTCGAGCCGAGAGTCGCCTCAAGACAGCCTATACACCCTGGTTGGGAAGACAATGGATAAGCCGCTCAAGGCCTCGAATCCAAAACGAGTTTCAGCACTCAATACCCACAATATGGGACTCAGGCCACGAGCCTTCGTCATCAAAATCGACCAAGTTCAACTACGGTTGAACCGGGACTCAGGCTATGCGCCTTCACCAACAAATTCAACTACGGTTGAACCAAGTCAGGCTATGCGCCTTCACAAACAAGTTCAACTACGGTTGAACCAACTCAGGCTACACGCCTTCGCCAACAAGTTCAACTACGGTTGAACCAACTCAAGCTACGCGCCTTCGCCAACAAGTTCAACTACGGTTGAACCAAGTCAGGTTATGCGCCTTCGCCAACAATTCAACTACGGTTGAACCAAGTCGGGCTACACGCCTTCGCCAACAAGTTCAACTACGGTTGAACCGGGACTCAGGCTACACGCCTTCGCCAACAAGTTCAACTACGGTTGAACCAACTCAGGCTACGCGCCTTCGCCAACAAGTTCAACTACGGTTGAACCGGGACTCAGGCTACGCGCCTTCGCCAACAAGTTCAACTACGGTTGAACCAACTCAGGCTACGCGCCTTCGCCAACAAGTTCAACTACGGTTGAACCGGACTCAGGCTACGCGTCTTCGCCAACAAGTTCAACTACGGTTAAACCGGGACTCAGGCTACGCGCCTTCGCCAACAAGTTCAACTACGGTTGAACCAAGTCAGGCTATGCGCCTTCAAAAACAAGTTCAACTACGGTTGAACCGGGACTCAGGCTACGCGCCTTCGCCAACAAGTTCAACTACGGTTGAACCAAGTCAGGCTGTGCGCCTTCACAAAAAAGTTCAACTACGGTTGAACCAAATCAGGCTATGCGCCTTCACCAAAAAGTTCAATTACGGTTGAACCAAGACAGGCTACGTGCCTTCGCCATCAAATTTAACAAAGTCCAACAACAGTCGAACTGGGACTCAGGTTATGTGCCTTCGTCATTAAATCCAACGAGCTCGACCTCGCTCGAATTACAAGGATGGACGCCTTCGTCCTCAACTTTAGCAAGTTCAACCACAGTTGAACCGAGACTCAGGCCAAACGCCTTCATCTGTGAAAGCAAAGCCCGACCTCCAACAAATCAAAGCGCAGGATAGGCACCCTCGCCATTTCAAGTAAGTTCCCCCAACTCGGATTAAGATTCGGGCCACGTAAAGTTCGGCCCCGGTCAAACTACGAGGCCGCGTTTTTTACTATCACGACCGGTAGTTCGACCGCGCCCGAACTGGGACTAAGGCTAAGCGCGCTATCGCCAAATAACGGCCAAGGCTCGCCCGCACCGAGCTGAAAAAGCAAGGCCATCAACTATGTTATGGCTAGGGCCATCGCCGCCAACGGTCGACCTAGATTCGACTACGGTGAAGTAAACGACCCGACGACGGTCGAAGTTGCCTCCATGGCTAAGGCCGTTGATTCTATCACGACTAAAGTCGTCGATTTAAATTCGACTAGGGCCAACGTGAACGGTCAACAAAAAGCGCAACAAAAACTCTAAAGAACGAAAGAAAAACAGTGACAAAAAACAAGCACAAGGCAGGCAATGGAAAAGAAAATGTATATTTACAAAGTCAATTGCGGGTCATCCCCGCTTACACCCGGCCAAGGCCGATCAATACAAGAAATAAAAATAATAATAATAATACAAGAAACGCCTAAAATGCCAAGCGGCGAACAAGACGAGAAAAAATGCATAATCTTTTTACTCGGTGCCGTCTGCGCCACCGTCTGCACCAGCGTCAGCCTCTGGCGTCGCCGTGTCAAAACCACAATCGGCACGTGCCTCACGAGCCTTCTGACGTGCCCCCTCGAAAGCAGCCTCGGTCACGACTCCAGCCTCCCACAAACTCTTATATACATCACGTTGGGCCTCGGCAAAGACCCAAAGTTCCCGAGCCTGGCTGGAAGAAGCGGCCTGATCCCGTAGCCGCTGATTCTCTTCTTCTAAGGCTGTGATCTGGTCCGCCATGACTTGGGCATCCTACTCAAAGACACCAA